CACCTGGACAGGTCTAGGCACATCAAAGAGACACCTGGACAGATTTAGGCCCATCACAGAGACACCTGGACAGGTCTTGGCCCATCACAGAGACACCTGGACAGATTTAGGCCCATCACAGAGACACCTGGACAGGTTTAGGCCCATCATAGAGACACCTGGACAGGTCTCGGTCAATGACAGAAACCTGTTTGTGTTCTGTGGGAGAAAGCTCAGGAGAACATGTGAAGTCCACACAGACGAACCTTCGGTCTTGTCACTGTGTGCTGACGGTTCAAACCACTGTACCACCGTGCCACAGGTTTAATTAGTAAAAAAGAACATAAATAAGAGATGTTCTGTTTAATTATTATTTTAGCCACTGAAACTCTTTATATTGCTGAATGTATGAAGACAATCTGTATAAAAGTTGTTTTATCTGACAGACATGCATAACATTATTACACTGGTTCCGTTTGGACCTTTTTAAACCCAAACAGCTGGTCTTGGTATCATCTGAGAGTTCTGGTACACATGGCCCAATCGGAACCATTTCTCTGACTCCACTAAGTTTCGGACAAACATGAGCAGGTCTTACCCGTCGAACCGGACCGTGCCGGTCTGTTCCGTGTCAACCTTGTAGTGGTCCAGAAGCAACCGGACCACCTTCTCATGTCCGTTCCGGGCTGCGATGATGAGAGGTGTGGACCTTTGTCCGGAGACCTGGGTCACATAGCTCAGAAGGTACTTGGTCTCGGGTTCGGAGTGGTTCAGCAGCAAGGCAGCCAGCGTCAGGACCCGACCCTCGCTGGCTGCCTTGTAGACGTAGCCGGCCAGAGACTCCATATGAGCCCGACACCTGGCCGCCCGGTTCTTCTTAACTCACACCCCCAGAGTCCAGTCCTCCAAAAGAACCCGCCTCCCATTAAAATGTCCACAAAGATCCCAGTGATCCCATGAAAAGACTGATTTCTTCCACAGACAGTTTCCCCGCTGACCGATACCCTGTGTTAGCTGCTCTGCTAACAGTTAAAAGTAGATTAACAAGCAGAGTGTTCCGGGTCAAGTTTCGGTCCAGTTAGAGCGGTACCTCATTGCTCACCTGAACGATCCAAACCCTAAAGTTTATCTAACAAAGCTATCAAAAAAGACTCAACATTTTAGGAACAAAAACTGAGATTTCACTTTACAGCTAAGAACTGCCGGAAGTTGAAGTTCAGCCTTAAAACAGGTTCGACTGGAACATTCTGCAGCTGGTATAATGTGTTCCTCCTCTTCCGCCTCAGCCTCATTTTGTGCTTTATTCACGGTTGGTAAACAACAAATAGTGTGTATTACCGCCACCTACTGGTATGAAGTGTGGCTCAGAATGTTTAATGTTGTGTGTTGTCAATAATCATATTCTATTAATCAATCTTTATTTTGCTGAATAACTTCATAAAAATGTAAATAATTTTGCTTCCTGACATTTTTATAGTATATAATTCTTCTTTTGGAATTTGGAGATTTTTCAAGTGAGGTTGATTATTTATTATTTTTTAATAAGGGAAGATATGATAAGAGTATTTTTCAACACTCC